ATTCATCATGTGACTTTCTCATCACCACCTGTTTTTGGTGGTTATAAGTGTATTACAACACATATATTAGTACTTCAGTAGATTGGTATATTAACATTATATTGTTAATGTAATATATATATTTTTTTACTGTAAATTGAAGTTCAATCTGTAAAACCTAAAATGTTGCTACAGTGTTTGTTTTTTTACAGTAAAGTTCTGGCAACCACAGCTGCTGTTTTTCATTGTAAATGTAAAAATATTTTGTTGTTAGTTTTTGTTTTGTGTTGTTGTTGTTTTTGTATTGTTTATTATTTTTATTTTTTTTATTAGTTTATTAATTTATAAAATAAATAATGTATGATATATAAAATTACACAAACAAATTGTACTATCCCTTTAAATCATTAACCATTCACATATATCCTATTTAGACTAAGGCAAGAGAGCACAAATAAGAGCATGATTCTCTGTGACTCTTTACTCTAACAGCTGAGGAGAGCTACAGCTGGCCCGCATACTTCCATACAGCCTCCACATAAGGAACAGGAGTGTGCAGGTGTGAGCCAAAAACCTTTCAACTTACAGTGACTTACCATGGTTCAAACTCAACACACACTCATGCATATGATGAACCTACAGCATCAATCACTCATCTCGCGGGATTTGTCATCAACACTGGAGATGTTCAGACATACATACAAAGACTCCCACAGTCTGTTTTTTGGAAAATGTAGTGAAACCGCTTCCCCGCATGTGAGTTTGGATGGGCTTTTAGAGTCAGAACTGTTTAGGAGCGACCAGGCACACGGCCCAGAGACAAGAGCATGGCCTCGTGGGTAAGATAGGGATTCTGGCTCTCTGCCTCTTCAGCACAGCTCTAATCTTCCCTCACTAAGAGTTACAACAAAGGCTCTGAGGCTTGAGATTAACAAACATATCTTTCTCTTCTACAGATGGCCAACTGCACACAGGACGCACAAGAAACAGATATCAGCTCTGCGATTGCTTTAGAGCACTGTCTGACACGTTAAACTGTTACAGGAATTACATGGCTCAGAGAAACATCTAAAAAGCACCTGTTCAGTTCAAGCCAAAATGAAAAACCTGAATCGCACCTGTTGCATTCTTTCATTGCAGTTTTTCATTTTTGTCTGATTTTTAAATCTTTTCTTCACATGCTGGAAAACAAAATTTATCTATTCAGATTTATTATAAGAAAAAATCTTCCTAAATATTAAATAATTTCTTTGAACTAAATAAAATCTGTTAATTTAGATGATACCAAATAAAGCTTATAGTTAACTGCTAAATATCTGTACAAACCTCTTTTTTTTCCCGCAATTTTGTTCCCCCATCACATGCATGTACAACAAAATCACAATAACCATCGATCTAACTAATAGCTCTTAAAAAGGAAATCACTTTACATTTTAAATCACTGAGGTTCTGTCAAATTTTGCTCTTAAAATATAAACAGACATGTGCAAATTAGTAGTGTGTTTGCATACACAGCAAAACTAGGGAAAGGAACCTGAGCCATTTAACCAATAACCCACTACTGTTTAAAGGGGTCATATGATGCTTTTTTAAAGATCATTAT